GCCAGGATGCAGCCACCAAAAGCAATCTGTTCCTTAGAGAGCTTTGTGGTTCCTGTGCTGGCAGGTTTGGGTGCCTGGGAAGACACTCCTTGGACAGCATCAGTTTCCAGGGGTTAAGTCCCAAACACCGCAGGTCAGCTTCTCTGGGTGGAAATGGAGGCACCTCACAGCTTCTGTCAGTTGGGTGCGTTCTCCTGTGCTCCATCAAAAGGCAACAACATCAAAGTGTCTGTGCAGAGCAGTTGGCTGTAGCTGAGCAGGCAGAAGTGACAGCAGTGAAATGCTGTCTCCATCACTGTAGGAGGTTCAGCCCCACTGGGAGCCTGAACTTTGGACCGACAAGCATTTCCAACCTGCTGAAGCTTCTGGTTTGCAGTTTCTTTGCCTCTTGGAGTGACACATCATCCGTGGGGTGTGCATCAGGATCGACATGTCAGGACCTATAAAAAAGTCTTGCTGCCCATAGGAATGGGCTTGTCCAGCTGGTGTTGGGTCTGTCTGCCCAGGAAGGATTCTCTTGTCTCAGATGAGCAGTCACTTCTCAATTCTCACACAGGGAAATGGGCACAGGGAGCTTCTGTGCTAATCCCCAGCAAACGCTGAGAAAACCCACAAAGCCCCACTCCCGTTTCCTGCTCTAAATCCCACACAACAGACCTTGCTCTCCGGGGCCAGGAGCCAAAATCTCGCAAGCAATGGAAAGATTCCCCTTGACTTTAATGGTCTTTGCACGAGTGCCTAATTCCTTCCTGTTCACAGGCTCCCTTGGACGTGGTTATGGAAACAACTGCAGATACAAAGTGCTGCAGTGACCTGTAAACCCTCCAGAGCAGCGCGATGGCAGATTTCGCTGTCCTCCCAGACAGTTGGAATGGGTTTTGTTTGACAAAAAGCCTGATATATGTTCTTCCAGCCAGCGCCGTGGCTACAGTGTGAATGAGTGTTTTAACAAATCTATTCCTGCAGCCAGGGTTTGTGGTCAGCCCTCGGGGTTTGGAGCCAAGCTCTTCCCAGCAGGACGGGGAAGGCAGGGAGCCCGTGTCTGTGCTGGGAGAAGCTGAACCTCTGCTGCTTGGATGTGCCAGCATCTCCCAGACTTGGGTCAGCAGCTTCTAGGGGCTGGTTGGGTTCCCTGCCCGCAAAGCCCATGTCACCGGTAGGGACTAGGTGTTGCCCAGTTTTGCCAGCTCTTTCTGAAATGTAAGGTTTTTACCCCAGGCTGTCCCACCGCAAGCATTTGGATCTGGGTGCCTCTGGCTGTGCGGTGCCACTGGGGGGGATGTGGGGTTTGGGGGACTATTGGCTCGTGCTCTGAAGCACAAGATCTACCTGCTCTGCTCTCATCACGCGCGGAGCAGGAACAGCAAACGGACTATATTGTCCTTATAGAGCCCCCAGACCCCGTGTCTGACCCCATGAGAGGAGCAGTGATTTTCACGGGGGATCGGGGTGTTTGAGAGGAGCAGAAGTGTTTTCCTGCTGTGTAAGGCTGTTCCTCCAGCTCTCGGGGGAGAGGAGGCTGATGATGATGATGGCTCCTTCTCTCCGTATGCCCTAGAAACTTTCTGGATCTGGTTAAGGGTGTAGGTTGTTTTACTTCACTGCTCAAACCCCGCATTGGGTTTGGCCATTTCATTTTTTCCTCTCATCCAAAAGCAATTCTCACCCATGGGGTCTCTCCAGAGACGTGGCTGTGTGAAGGCTCCCGGTTCAGAGCCACAGGGATGATGAGGTGCTGGCCCAGCTCTTTTGGGAGGATTATTTTGCTTTTTAAAGGCAGGGGCTGCAGCCGGGGCTGATCCCTGCCTTGTGGGGGGAGCAGGCTGGGACGGGGCTGCAGTCATGGGTTCATCTCTCTGCCATCCAACCAGGTACACAATTTTTATTTTTTTTTTTTTCTCCCAGGACTTAATTAAAATGCATACATCTTTCCTCACATTTTTATGAAGCTCAATGGCAAATAACGGTCACTCTCTAATTACACCAACATTAACTTGTTTTCATGGCTGAAAAGGACAGACCCAAGGGCAGCGTCGTTTGCAGAAAATTGTAAAAGACTTAAAAGAAAAACCCATACAAAAAATAACAGCAACAAAAAGGAGTTGTGGTTTCTTGAGCCAGTTTGCATTCCTGGAAGTTGATGACGCCCTGGATTACTGTTGTTTTTTTAGACCTCTCTCAATTTTTTTTGGGATGGTTTGTCTGTAGTGTGGGTATGTGTGGGCAGAGAACTGGGGAATATGCAGAGGAGAAAAAAAAAAAAAAGCTAAAAATGGGAGGAACAGGCTGACTGCATATGCTTTATTTTTTTTCCTTTAAATTAAAAAAAAAAATGCTTGAAGATGTTAAAGACTTGGGGAGGGGGGGTGGAGCACAGGCATGGCAGAGGAAGCCGATCCTGAAGACATCTAATACAGGATCCTTTGTGCTTCACTGAACATCGTGTCTTCTCGGCTACGGGAGAGCTGTGTCTCAGTTTGCCAAATAATCACTTCAAAGTTCTGATTTATGTCCCTTGGAAGCTGCCTTGCCCTGCAGAGAGGAGAAGGGATGCAGCCAAGCTGTCCCAGGCCAATGTGCTGGGGGCGTGATGGTACAGAGGGCTGGCAGGTCTTGTCTTGGTGCCACCAGGAAACGTGTTTCCTGTTGCTCTCTGGTTTTGGTGACACATCCCATTTGAGCATTTTTTTTTTTTTTTTGCTTAGAAAACAGTTGTCTTCTTCAGGAAGTATTTCTCTTTTCTCAGTGTTACTCATGCTCACGCTGAGCTGAGCCCCACCGGTCCCCAAGGGATGCTGCTGCTTTGAGGGTGGTCCAAAAAATGGAGAGTTAGCTCAGCCGGTCCCCGAGCGGGACGGAGGGGAGGTGGGGAGTCAGGGGCCATGGTCTCCTCCCATTTACATGAGTGGGCAATAGCCAGAGCATGTTCTCTCTATTCTGCTGATTTCCTGATGGTTGCTCTGGATTTTTATTGCTTGCGCTAAAAGAAGGGCCCAGTCTGTAGTTTGAACATCTAGAGGGAACTTAGAGAGGGGAAAAAAAACAGTTGCTGCATCTGTGTCTGAAGGAGAAATAACTTTGCCCACTCTGCCAGGGCGGGGGGTGGTTTCTGGAAGAACATTCCTGTGCTGGCAGGGCTTTGGCTCGGGGACGGGTGACGATGCCCTGCCCGGAGGTGGCAGTTACAAGACCTGTGTGTGTCCTCGCTGCTGCGTGAAAAACACCCATTAAATTTTCTCTCCCAGCTCTTCTCCACCCCGAGGTTCTGTAGACATGCCAAGATCACAGGTTGTTTTTTTTTTTTCTCCTGTTACCAAAGCAGAGGCTGATGTTCCCAGTAAGTGCATCCCAGTCTGTTCTTTGCCATTGCTCCATCCCAGTGCAGTCAGCCCTTACTGGAAAATTTCAGACTCTTCCTTTTTTCTTCTCTGCTGGAAGCTTCCTTTTAAAACATTAATGTCTGTATTACTTTTTTTTTCCCCGGCAGGCTAATTAATACTTGATTCATCACCTTGAAAGCTAATGGATATTTATCCAGATCATGAAGGAAGTGAATGCTGTCTATAAATAACTGCAGCAGCACTCGCTGGCGCTCGCTGACAGCCCGGCTTTATTTATGCTCCTTCTTTTTCAGGGAAAGAACTCTGCTCGGCTCGAGAGGAGTTAATCCTAACCTTTTCCCAGGGTTGGTTTTGCACTGGCCTGGCTCGATGTTTTGCTTCTTGGGCTGTACTTTGTAAACATGGTGCCTTTTTCCAAGGGAAAAGGGCTGCTTTTGTGGAGAGAGCCCCAGACGGTGCGTGTGATGGCTCCAGCCCCGGCCAGCAAAGGCCATTTGAGACCTTGGGTGTTTTCATGGGCTGGGAGCTCTCTGGCACTCTCGGAGATGTTGTTGCATTTTGGGTATTGAAAAAAACGCCGGAGAGCCCTTTGCGAGTTATCATCTGCTTTGAATAAATGGTGTTTATTGTCTTTGTCTCCAGCTCTCCAGCTATTGTCATCGGTGACCTTAATTAGGAGCATATTAAAAATCATGTCTGGTTTGTTACTCACGCGTACAGAATTCAAAAGTAATTATTTACTTTTACTGTTAACTTGCATGTTCCTCCTGGACGCTGCTCTGCAGCCACGAGAGCATCTGGCTGCTCTCTGGAGAGGACAGCCCGTGCTGTCCATGTAGCCTTCAAGGGCAGAAGAGCTGGATGGGAGCTGGGACGAGGGGCCCGAGGGGCACAGAGGTGGGGTGAGAGCTGCAGTGGGTGCTGGAGGACAACCAGAGGGTGACCTGTTGTAAACTGGTGCCTTGGCTTTTCCCACAGCCCTGCCCATTGCTGCTGCCCGTGGCTGGGCCCACACCAGGTCCTGCGTCTCCATTTTGGGTCTAATGCTGCTCTTGTGGCTCCAGAGGGGCTGGGGGCTGCCAAGAGCTCTACCTGCTTCTCCAGAGCAAGGCTGGAAAAATAGTGCTGATGCAATTTCTAGGCTCCTGACCTCACTGCAGTAAAACCCCATGGAGAGCTTGCCCTGAGGTCTGCAGGGTGGGCTTTTTGCCACTTCGGCAATGATGACACTTGTTCTGAGGCAGGATAAGGGGAACCAAATGAGCTGACTCCTCCTGTGTTGCTCAGTCTCTTGGTTTTCATCACAAGCGATGCAATTTGTGAAGCTGCCTCCAGGAAGCACCAGCCTCTGGAGTCGCACAATTGTGTAAAAATCTCAGCTTTTGTTCATTTTCCTATCCCTCATGAAAATGTGAGCTGAAAGCTTCAAGCACAAAGGACCAGCAAGACCTTTTTTTTTATTACTGTTTAAAAAAATCTATGCTGCTAAAGATGAACTTACCTTTGGGGTTTTTTTCAGGGACATTGGCTCATGAATTTTTAATTCTTGAGCTTGGCAGCACTGGTTGAATTAGGAACAGAACAACTGATTTTAATGAGCGTAAGATTAATGCAGATGAGCTTGGTTGAAACCGTGATCCAGCTGAGGAGAGAGGATGGTCTCACTTCACCTACCAGCTCCTTCCTCGGTGGGCTGTTATGTTGCAAGCATTAGCACAGCAGAGCACATTCTCATCTCTGGTTATTACCTGGGGAAGAAACACTCATTAAACTGCCTGGTTCATGCAGGATATTTTGCACATTAACCCTTGGCATTAACTAAACAGTCCTGCAAGATGGACTGGGGCTTTTCAGCGTGCAAGTGGGGAAGAAGGAGGAAGGCGGCTCCAGGGAGACCTTTGAGTCCCTTCCAGTCCCTAAAGGGGCTCCAGGAAAGCTGGAGAGGGACTCTGGATCAGGGAGTGTAGTGATAAGACAAAAAGCCCCTGTATATTATAAATCAAAATTCCTCCCGTTGTTAGTGTCACTTTCAAACAGCAGCATCATGAGACCCGGAGTCTGTTGCCAGCAGCAGCGCCGATAATTCACCTCGTTTGCTGCAAGGCTGAAGGATGAGACACTTTCCCCCTTTGTGGAGCTTCCCACATCACCTCTTTGCTCATGAGGAAGCAAAATCCCTACAAAAATGGGGCTGCCACCGCACCAGGAGAGTGCTGACTGCTGCCTCCAGGTGCGTTTAAAAACCCACCCGGAACCTGCTTCTCCTCCTCAGTGTTTTTCCCAATAATACATTTCCCCCATCTTGAGCTCCTGGTGCTGGTTGGAAGGGATGCCAGGCTCCGTGGGGTGGCTGGTGGGGTACTCCCAGAGCATCCTGTCCTCATCCCGCCCACCTGCTTTATTCCTGCTCGGTTTTGCCCCCCTGCTGACCCCATCACTCCGATATTTCATCCCAAGGGATAAACCCTCCTCTTTGCTGTGTCTCACACCTGTTGTGAGTGTTTCCAGGGATTAAGTTGAGCGTGTCTGTGTTGAGCCCCTGCCGGGGGGGGCCTGGCCAGGAAGGCATCGGCCCTTTCATCACCAGCCCCCAGTCTCAGCCTTTCTTCTTCCTCCACGGGAGACACATTCCTCTGCTGAAATGACAGTGCCAAATTCTGCCCGTGAGACAGAAGGTTGGGCTTGGTTTTTTTTTTTTTTGACTTGTACTGAAAAGCAGCTCCTGCAGTGGAGTTAATCCATCCCGGGCAGGAACAGGGGAGAAGGAGCTGCAAATGCTGCTGTGTCCCAGCGTCTGCCCCGGCTCAGGGGGCACCAACCACCCAAAGACACTCCTCGAAAAAAGAAAATCTGCAGTATCTTTCTTCTCCCTTTAGCACATCAACTCCCTTTATTTTTTTCCTGGGCTCAGCTTAAAGTTTGTTTGGGTTTTTCTTTGAATTTTTGTGGGGTTTTTATTGCCGGGACGGGGACACTGGGGTGGAACATCTGATCACTGGGATAAACATGTCCCAAAATACAGGGTTTGCACATCCTGTTTTTAAAGCTGGTCTTGCAAAATGTTCAAAAGCTTTTCTATTTAGCCAGCATTTCGGTGACTGTAAATGGCTTAAACTTTTCCCAGCTATTGTTAGTGGCAGTATCTATAACTCGGTGGCTGTGATATTGAACATTCAAAATAAGGAAGAACAAATAAATACGTGAAGTAAAACACAATGGCTCAGCTACATTCCCCAGTGTTATGCCGGGAAAAACTACTGACTACAGGGCCCAGGAGCTCCTGTGGTTATTTCAGGGGGAACAGGTTGCAAATAAGCCAGGAAAACTTGTACTCTGGGACTTTATCCTCTCGGGACAAGGCACTGGCCTGGGATGCGGGACTTGGTGAGTTTTGTGTCTTCACAGCTTCAGGGACATGCTCCAAACGCCTGGTCAGGACCCTGCTCCCCACTGAAATCACTGGAAAAAGTCCCAGTGCTGAGATGGAGCCAGTGTCCCTGAGGGTCGCCAGGTCAGGATGCTCATGGCATCTTGCTGACGGCGGGATGGGAGCAGCTCAAACAGCCCCAGGGGGCTCCCCAGGGACACCCCAGCACCACAGGGGCACCCCAGCACCCCAATTGTTCTGTCCAACACTCACAATTGTTCTGTCCAACACTCACACCCCAACACTCACAATTGTTCTGTCTTTTGAGGTGCTCCACCTGGAGCCCTGCTAGAGAAGAGCAGTTTATCCATGCTTCCTCCTGAGGCTTCCTAAACAAACAACACACACACTTATTTTAAAAGTTCAAGAAGAAAGTTTAAAAGTTAGAGAAGTTAGAATGTCTCATTACAGAGGAAAAGCCGTGGTCCTGCTTTGGTCTGGCTGCACGTGGCAGAGCCCTCCCCGTCTCTCGCAGAAGGGCTCCTCTCTCCTGGAGTTTTCGTCATGCAAAAAAGATTTCAGGAGGGTCTGCTGGAGCCTCTCCCACCGTGTGCAGTTGCACGGCAGTGAGAGTCATTACTGGCTGCAGTTGCAGATTTTTTCCATTATTAGGGACGATGGGTGCGCACGTTCAGGCTCCCCCCTCCCCTGCACAGGCTCCAGCTGGCCCCGTCCTTGGGTGTGGGGAGGGAGCAGCCCCGGTGCTGGGGCAGCCCAGGAGCAAAGGGAGTCCCTAAAAATCAGTCCCAGCCAGATTGCCAGCTTTCCCTGGGGAGAAAATGTATCTCTGAGGCGTCAAAAAGCCACCTTGTGACCTATAACTTCAGCAGATTTCATCTGAGGAAATATGAAAGAAGACATAAAGGCATTGCAGTTCTATGTGTAATTTTTTAGACCTCGTTTCTAATATATGCAAATTTTTTAGACCTGGTTTCTAAAAAAGCAGCGAGGTCCGAGGCAAACGCTGGGCAGCATCAGAGGGAGCAGCCTGGAGATGGGTTTTCTTCATTCTTCACTAAGGGGACAAAAATGTGTGTGGTGTGTTGACAATTAGTGAGGCTTGAATTATGAATTTCTGTTGAAATTGGAGGGTTTTCTTGGGAGAAATCCCCCTGGCTCTGCTGGAGGGAGGGATGGGGTGGCTGAGCTGGGGCAGAGGGGCTGTAGAGAGCACAGACCTGCTGCTGTTGGCACCCTTTGACATCCCTGGAACTCTTTGCTTTGAATCATTACTTATTTCTTTTTATACCCATCTTCCAGCAGAATTAAGGGCAGTAATGGGAAGAGCCCCATAACACAGCTTGCACAGGCTTAAAATGCTTTATGCTCATTGCAGTTCTCATCCTGACAGCACCTTTGGGAAAGGAGACAACATTCAAATGTCCCATTTGCAGCACGGCAGAAGAAGGAATCCTTAGTAGTGCTGTCTCTGGAGAAAAAAATATGAATATATGCAAGTTGCACATATCCAGTCTCATTACAGTGAGCTCAAGAAGGTGCAATTATTCTTAGTTTTATGTTCGTATGTGATTTAGAGTGACTAATTGATGACAAGTCCTCCCTTCTAATTGTATGCAAAAGGAGTGATTTCAAGGCAAAATAATTGTGGCTGCTGCCAAAGGGAACAGGAGATAAAAGCAACTCCTATTACCTCCAAATGGCCCCACATGGATTCCTTGTCCATAGCAACAGACACGGTTTGTACTGGAATAACACATGGACTATGTATTTAATCTTTCACCCAAGGATCTAAAATAGCTTTCGGGTGAGCCCTTAGGGGAAGGATCCCCACGATTAGCCCCGACATCTGGGGCTTTTGGAGACCTGATTCCCAAATATCAGCTTCCCTTCTGTGCTCACAGCCCCTGCCAGCGAGCCAAGAGACCCACTGAGGTAACCAGTGCTGTGGGTACCACCACCAGAGTCCTGGCAGCACCTGGGTACGATGCCTTGGGCTTTTCCCATCTCTACACCAAAAATCCTTGGATGGGGACAGCAGCACTTGGCCAGGCTGTCACACAGCATGATGTCCCTGCAGGGACTGGGGTCTGCAACCACACCAAAAATCCTTGGATGGGGACAGCAGCACGTGGCCAGGCTGTCACACGGCGTGATGTCCCTGCAGGGACTGGGAGACTGAGGGGTCTGCAACCATCAAAGCACCTCACAGCCCAAAAAACACAGGCAAAGCCTCCTCAGCCACATTGTCCCCTGGTGTCCTCGGCATGTCCCCAGCCTGGCCAGGGCTGGTGCTGCACTGCTGGCCTGGCTGGGCAGGGATGGCCAGGGAAGGAGGGGTGGTTTTTTGCCTTTTCACATTCTCAGGTTGTGACTCGGTTGTTACCAACCATCGTTACCTTCCCATCTCTGGCAGATCAAGAGAGGACCACTGCCTCAGTTCTGTGTCACCAAGGAGAGCTTAAATATTGTGATTAAAATATTCCAGTCTCGCATGGGCTACTCAGACATGCAGGAAGAAACCTCTGCAATTAGATTCCCCATGTGCCAACAGGAGGGCACAAGTTCCTCCTTTTTTTTTTTTCTTTTTTTTCCATGACTATATTCTTCTGTGATTTTAGAGCAGCAGGGGGTGAAAAAAAAGCCTGTTTGATTTTCTTCATTATGCTGAGCCTGGTTTTACTTTCTGATTGCCAAAGCATGATAAATGGAACAGAGATTACCTAGAGATTTTCAAAGATTTGCTTTCAAATTTTATTTTTCCTGAGCCTCGTTAGGCTTGCAGGTTTTATCCACACTTTGTTCTTACAAACAGTTCTTACAGTGTTGCCGTATATTAATAGCCGTATTTTTTTTTCATTTGAAATTAAAACCAGATAGATGTTTCTCATGCTTTGCTTTCAAATCCTATTTTAAAAAATATTGATCATGTGTGTGTTGTTTCTCTTTTCCTCTGACCCTGCTGGCTCTGGAAAGGACAGTCACAACAAAATGCTTTCAGTCCTGGGTCTCTGTGAATGACTGAGAGCAGTTCTGTGAGTTCAGGGACAGATTTTAGAAGGTATAATGTATAGATAAAAGAAAAATGGGGTTTCCAACAGAGAGACAGGCAAGAAAAATAAGATTTAAAAGCAGAACCTCTACAATTAGCAGGTACAGAGCAGCTTAGACACGGTGAGACAGCCCCCCGTGTGCCTGGGGGCACCTTTCAGGACCTAAATGCTACTGACAGATCTTTTCCTCCACAACTTCAGGAGAAATGGCCAAAACTCATCTCATGGCTGAGACCCCCCCGGCACAGCCTGTCTGCTGCTGTCTAGGAGAGGTCTGGAGGAGGGTGACAGGGGCTGGGCATGAGGACAACGTGGGGGACACAGACAAAAGCCACCCAAACATACCTGATGGTGTTCCTTCTGCTGGAGCCGAGAGAACTGAGCCACCTTCTGGGGTTTCTAGGTGTGCAGCTTCTGCTTTCTGTGCCACGAGCCCACAGAGGTCTCGGGGCAGAAGATGTGATGAAAAGGTCTCCTTGTGCCACCTACTCAGTGTGGGGAACAGCTTCCTGCCGCGCATCGGGGTGGTGTGATGGTGCAGGAGCTGGCTGTGTCCTCCGAGGTCCTGGGGAAGGTGCTGGAGATAAAAGACAAGTTCCTCTGGTGATGCCCAGCCTTGTTATCACAGGGATGGGAAACAGGGGTGCACAGGGCAGGGTGAGGACAGGGCATCCCTAGGGTGGCACCGACCCCAGCCACGCTGGGACCACCGTGACCCAGTGCAAAGGCAAAGCTCCTTGTGCTTGGCCCGGTCTCCAAGGCTCAGGGTGGTCCTGCTGACATTCTCCTCCAGACCTGACCCCAGGAGCTTTGCTTCAACTGGAAAGTGGCTCATTTGGAAGAGTTTCCTGCAGTTCCTCCAGATGCACTCAACAAGCTCTAATAATAACTGACTGCCTTTCTATTTATAACTGAGAAGACCAGCGAGGAGCTCGGCTGGGGCCACTGCACCCCAGTGCTCCCACACCTGCCACGGGTCCCCCCTCTGCCATCGGGGTATTGGTCCCCACTGTCCCCCCCGGCCCTGGCAGCCCTGCCATCCTGCACGGAAAAGGGCATTTCCCAGGGCTCTCTCCTTTGGATACGGGCACATTCACTTTGTTTTCGCTTGTTGACAAGGGGATATTTTCCTTTTAAAAACTGGGAATGTTTTTGTAGCGGCTCCTGCCCTGCTTTGTAAAACAAACATTTCCGAAGCGCCTGGTGTTTGGGGTGATGTTGTTACTGGAACGTCAGTGTGAGGATCAGAGGATGTATTTCTTAGTGCAGCCTGGGGATTCTGTGCCTGGTCGGATGGGACGCCGAGGACGGATGGATGGACCCTTTCGGCCGAGCCAGCTGGACGTGGCCTGCCTGGGGGCTGAGCTGGAAATGCATTTGGGTTTAGATTAAGGCCATGTAGCCCAAGGAAGCTCTCGCCCAGCCCAGAGCAGGAGGGGAGCATCTCCTCCAGTTTGGTGGGCCAGCTCAAACTGAGGCCGGGCTCAGGCTGAAGCTGCCTTTGCTGGTCCCAGTCTCAGAGGGAATGGGGGTTTGCAGCCAGTTCTGCTTCTGCCCCCAGCGCTGCCTCTGCTCCCCATCCTGACAGCATCAAACCCTGTGACTGCCCTGCTGGGAGAGGCTGGAGAGAGTTTTTCCTCTGATACAGCCTCTCTGCTTCACGCAGGATGCCAGATTTGATGAAAATGCTCTGATCTCTTCTGACAAATCCTCTGTTCCTAAGTAGATAATAACCAGAAAATCTTCCTAAATCAATCCTGGTTTCGGATCTGTGCCCACACTTGTTATTCCTTTCCTACCAATTAACTGCTCCTTCTTGCCCTGGATCGGGGGCCTCTTCAGCCCCCAGAAGGATAAAGGGGGCACTGATTTATGGCTGCTGAAGTCAGCGTGGGACCGGGTGGAGTTTTACAACTGCAAAAAAATGACAGTCTGATTTGGCAACGTTAATGCCCAAGTGACCAGAAACACTCTCCTGGGCTGAGCAGGGATTAGAGGTTGCAGATAGCTCTAATCCCAAACTGCAGCGGGAAGGGCTGGGATGCCTTTTCATCACATCGCTGGTGCAATGAAGCTGCTGCATGGATCTGACCTGGAGGAGAGAAGATGAATATATTAGAATAATATCCATTTACTTTTCCTCTCTCTGATATACTTGCTACTGAGACCCCCACCTTGGCAAAGGGGGGGTCTTAGGCTCCATTCCCCCCAGACTTGGCCAAGGCCGGGTGCTGCTGGCGAGGTCTGTGCAGGCAGTGAACAACCCAAACTTCTTTGGGACGGTTCATGGTGGACGTGCTGGAGAAGTGCAGGTCCCTGCTGGTGGTGGTTGCTGCATTCCTGTGGACACCAGCCACCTCTGCAGCATCTCTGGGCCAGCTTTTTGACCTCCTCCTTCCATCTGCAAGCCCTCGGTGTGTGTCCATAGCCCTTGGGCTGCAGAACTGGAGCTTTCCCTTGGATGGACGCCCTGCTCAGAAAATTGGAAATATTCTGGTGAAAGATTCTGCTGTTCTAATTTTTCCATAAGAAAGGAGAAACCCTGAGCAGCTTCTTTTTTTTTTTTTTTTTTTTTTTTTGAGGGACACAGCATTACCTGGTGAGTTCTCCTCAGGTTCAGCCCAATCCTCTTCACCTCCCGTGTTTCTGCCTCTGGAGCCTGTGGTCCCACAAGGTGAGGGCTCCTCCCTTGGGACACAACCCACGGCCCCAGGGTGAGGGTCTCACCCCCTCCTGCCTGGGAAATTAAGGTATAAATTGGTCTTGCACCGGAGCCCTAAATCTCTTCCAGGCTGTGCAGGACTCAGTCCTTCATTACCCCCATTTCCCATTAACGCTCTCTCTAATACAATACGGGGTGGGAGATGAACTACTTTGGGGTGAGGGAAGTGTTTGAGAGAAAAGGAGACCCCCGAACCCTCAGGCTGGGGGTGCTGTGTCTGCCCGATGGGCTGGGGTGACACCTGGGGCCAGGAGCAGCCCCCAGCAGCTCACTGCAACCACCTTGAACATGGATTTTTTCCCCCAGCCCGTTCTCAGGCCCAGGTCCCCGTGCCCCCAGCAGGGATTTTGCTCACACCAGGGCTGTTTTGCTCCAGCTCAGAGCATGGCAACCTCGGGGGGGGGCTCAGTCCCAACGGCCCCCTCCTGTCCGACTCACCTCATCCTGCAAAGTGTCACCGAAGGGTCACCTCCACTCCAGGGCTCGGGCACAGAGGACAAGGGGTGCCACGGGGCAGCACTGATGGAGAGGGACGGGGGGCACGGCTGCCCTTAGCCCCCCTCCTCGGCTGGTCCAGCACCTTGAGAGACGGGAGCAGGGGAGCAAAAAAAAAAAAAAAAGGAGAAAAAGGAGAAAATCCTTGTGCTGCCTGGTCGCTGGGGAAGGTGGGGGTGTCCCGGGGGTGTCCCGGGGGTGTCCGGGGTGTGCAGCGCTGCGGTGTCACCAGGAGGTGGCACAGCACGAATGGAGATGCTGCTGGGACCCGCCGAGCCCCCCCCACCTCCCCCGAGTGGAGCGCAGTGATTCATTAGAGTAGTTCCAGGAAAAAGAAGAAAAGTCTCGCATCTTCTTTCTCGGAAACCCATTGTGCAAAATCCTATCACATGGGGGGGAAAAAAAAAAAAAAGGCAAAAAGCACAAACCCCACATTTTGTTTGGAGAGAAGGAAAAAATGAGCATATTTTCCCCCTGCTTTGAAAACACGCAGCTGTCCGGACATCCACGGTCTCTCTGGTGTCCCCACGGCCTTCCTGCATGAGCAGAGCCTCCACTGACTCCTGCTCCTCTGCCTGATGCTCTCAGCTGCTGCTCTGATAGCCCACTTAAGCTTAATTTATGGCTTATATCATATTAATAGCAGCTTGCAGAGGATTTTCCTGCAAAAGCTGCCCCAGGTCTGCAGGTCCCCAGGGCTGAGCGAGGGCAGCTCGTGGCCCCTGAGCCTCCCACCTCCAGGTCTCGATCTGCTGAGTCCCAGGTGGCATTTTCCCCATTTAGCCCATCTTCCCTTGTGGGAGCATTCTTTAGGCACCTGTTTCTGAGGTAACAACTGGAAATGGCAAACGAGTATTTTTTTCTAAATGCTGGCAATTCTCCCTTTCCAGCAAAGGCAGAACAGAGGATGTAGAGTCAGGAGATGAGCCATCAGAGACCAGAGGAAAGGTTTCAATGAAACGCTGACCCACAGTGTTTCTGGAAGAAACGTTGCACTTCGACAAGATTACTGTCAATATTTCGCTTGAATGGGTGATTTTGAAATACTTTGCTGTTGTTTGGAAACCCTACTCCAGTTTGTAACCAAAAATAGAGGTTCTTTCTTCTCAGAAAAGAGTCCCTTCTCTCTCAGTTTTCCCCTCTTGGGTTTGCATGTTGAAAGTTAAATGAAACAGTCAACAGTGGCTTAATGGGGTCCCAAGAGAATGGGGACCAAGCATCTCCTCTGGCCCCTTGTTGGGACCCTCTGAGCGTTGGAGCACGAGGACAGGGCCAGGGGCTGCTTCCCTGCTCTCTGCCTCAGGGGTCCCCAAGCCTGGGGGGCTGTAGCAGCTCCCCACAGGGGGCTTTTTTCTCTTGCAGGAATTTGTCCAGGTGCTTTCTAAAGCCAGCTCAGCTTTCAGAGCATCCTCCTGAATGCAGCCAACTTCACATCATGCCCTCCAATCCCAGGCTGGAAGAGCCAGTACAGGACACCCCCTTGGAGGGCACAGGGGGGGACACAGGGAGCTGCTGCTCTCCGTCCCTCCTGCTCAGAGAGTCCTCATCTGCTTCCCCCTGTAAAGTCTCAGGGCAGTAGAAGGATGTTCTGCAAGTGCAAGGTCTCAGATGTAGAAGATGTTGTGCAATTATTTACTCACCGGAGCCTGTTTCTCCCTCTTCAGCCCCTTGTGAGAGGCAATCACAATCCCCCTGTGGGATGCGGTGTGGCCCTGCTCCAGACTGTTGGCAGGAGTCTTCTGTCCTGTCCTGAGAGGGGAAAAAACACAGAGCTTTCAAGGCCAGCTATTTGTCAAATTAAAGCAAAAAAAAAAAATAAAATTAAAAAATCGTGCTTGTTTTTGTTGTTCTTTCTGAATTCCTACTCAGCATCCTGAAAACCCTTTAGAGGGTTTGTATTTAGCACATGAAATGAATTTCTCACAGTGAGGCCAAAGACAACCCAGGTGCGTGGGTGGAGGAAGCCGTGGCCCACGCCAGCAGCCAGCGCCAGCACGTTGATGTCCTCAACTGTCCTCAAACCCTCCTCACGTCTGAGGGCACTGGCTTTAAAGCCAAATATATGCTGGTGGGACTGGGAATACAGGGAATATTTCCACTGCAGCCCAGTGCAGACCTTGCCTCTTAGTCCACCTGTGGACACAGCACTTAGATATCTGAAGAAACCTAAAAAAGATCATTTACAACTCAATTCTGACAGTACTAGCTCCCTTCATGGTGGGAATCGCTGCTATGAATTACCTCCTCAGAGAGCTGCTGAGCCTGATGTGTGGTTGTTGGAGCTGGGATCCCACCAGGGCCTGGGGAAGGTGCAGCTGGGCAAGAATAACTTCCTTGGATGGGAAGGAAGATGTCTTAGGGCATCTTGGCAGGTTCTGTGGTTGGAGGAGCTGATGGCTGGGCTGGCTCGTGCCTCTCAAGGCGAGAAGACTGCTGCAAAGAGGGAAGTTGCCCAAAGCGAGGGTCAGGCTGGTGTGGCCACCTGCAAGAGAGTGGATTATTTATAGACATTATGGGTTCCTGTATCTGCACACGTTTACCTGGGAGAGACAAGGTGGCTGAGGGTAGTGACAATTCTTCTGGCAAACCCATGATGTTTTACTGCCACAATGACACAGAAGGACCCATTCCAGCATGCCCCAAATCCATGGGAAGGATTTGCCTTTGACATCTGGGCTCCCACCGACATCCATCAACCATCTATGACCCAACTCAAGACCTCCCCAGGGACATTAATGACTGGACTAGAGGACTTCTGGTGTTTTGAAATAGGCAAAATTCATTCTGAAGTGCACAAGACCCTGCAGGAGGGATGTATTCAGTCCTTGTGCTGGTGGCTTCCCCCGTGACCACAGACACACAGGTGTGTTTCGTTCAGCTGCTGCACAGCCCGTGTCCTTCCTCCCCCGTCCACAAAACACCATCAGATGTCTGTGCCGGGACGAAGATGCACAGGGACAAACTGGATACCTCCATCGTGCCTAGAACATAAGTTCGTGAACTTCTGTTATCACTCAGGCATGATCTAATTGAAACATCATGACTTATACAATCACCTCCCTCTCTGTCCCCCGCTTTCACTCTTTTAAAAAAAACTTTTCCTGCTTTTTCCAGCTGGACAAGCTATCTTTCTGCCTGCTTTGAAGTAAATATTTTGTTGGGTTTGGCTGCTGCCACAGCCACACATAGTCTTCTGCCTGATATTTTATCCATCTGCTGCTAAAGGACTAGAGAACAGCTGAGAGTCTCCAAAGGGTTTTGAGGTGCTGAGTAGAGCTAAGGAGCACCAAGGCAAGAGAAGAATAGTCTTCTCAGCTTTCACGTGCATAGTAATTCAGCTGAAATGCCTTAAAAATTAAATACTCTGGGAGATGTTTGTTACAACACCCTGGTACTCACAGGCTGGCTCCCCTCAGCTGAGGACTGACACCCCCCCGAGGTTCATGCCGAGGTGCAGTCCAGCTCCCATTTCCTCTTCTGTCTCCAGCGAGTGGAAAAAGAGAATTGGACTCCCACGCCGTCGAGGTTGCCAACATCTGCCTTGCCTCATTTCTTCTGCTTGAAGAACATCTGGCTCTGCTCTGGGACAGCCACGTGTGGCCAGTTGTGTTGCAGGGGAAGGGGTTGTGCTCGCTGGGATAAAGGCTCTGGTGGCACCTGCCCGGCTGGAGATGCTCGCTGCCCTCACGGCCTGGGAGATGGTGTGTTCATGGTGCTGCCCTTCCAGGGCAGAAACAAATAACTTTCTGTTTGATGCTGGTCCTGTTTCCTGTTCTTTTTTCCCCTGGATTGCTCTGAAGAAAGGATGTTTTTTTGTCCGGTTGAACTCCGAGGTGGGGAGGTGCCTGCCCAGGAGAAAGCACACGTGGCCGTGGCACCGCTGTGTGAGGAGGATACAGGATACAGGAGGGGCTGCACAGGGCTGGGGTACGCTGCCTGTACCCCTCGGGGTGTCTGCAGGAAGGACACCATTGCTCAGCTTTAACCTCCTACTCCACAGAAATTTGTCTTGTAGCTGTTTTGAATCTTGCATTGCTGCTTTTTATGAAGTTCCTTGAAATTCTCAGAAAAAGTACTTTTTTTTGTGGTTGTTGCTTACTTGCACTTAAGGAGAGTTGCTGAACTAGCATTTGAATGGGACAACGTTCCTCTCCTTGTCACAGCTGGAGAGGACAAGGAGACCTGGAGAGCTCTGTCATTCCTGTCCAGACATTTTTGAAATACCCCTTTGGTCCCCAAGACCTTTCAGGGTGAAATACTGTCCCTGAGCTCCCAAACCTTGAGCACGCATGTGCCTTGCTCCCTTCATCCCCAGCGCTCAAAAACTACTGGGGGGCACCATTTTTCTCACCTGATCATGGGCTGCCCTTCGCTGTGGCTCCGGGATGCCCGTTTGGGGCACGGTGCTTGGGGACCGGCGCTGGAGGCAGCTGGTGGTGAATGGCCCTTTGTGCGCTCTGTTGCTTTGCTGCATAAAGAGAGCATTATTAAATGTAGTAAATAAGAATTTCCCTGTTAATAAAGACTAAATTATTGCATGAGCTTCTGTGGGGAATGTGCAGTGTCTGCAGCAGGAGGTTGGGTGATGGCTGCACCCCATGGCACGGGCAACACGCTCTGCTTCAGGTTTAGCAGCAAAGACAGCGGGCACGTGGAGGGCTCGTGTCATGCTGGAAAAAAAGGGAATAACCAAAATGCTCGGCCAGTTCTGGAGCTGGTTTGCTTGCAGGGTGCATCCCATTCTGTCCCTGCACTCAAAGAGCAGGTAGAGCCACTGCAGCTGCCGGGGACAGTGTTTGCCCCCAGCCCTTCAGCTCGGGGCAGGGAAAGGAGAGAGACGGAGGCGACCGCTGAAGAGAATATTTAAGAAGCTGGTTCATTTCCAGGAAATCTCTCTCTTGTTCTTTTTCTTTTCAATGGAAAAGCTAAGTCCTCATGAACTTTTTGAGAACTTTTGTTCATTCCCTCTTGCCAGCTAAGCTCCGCTTTGTGCCGGGGACAGAACCCCTTTCTCCAAGTGCTGGCCATGGGCCAGGACCTGGAAATCTCAGCTGTGGGCTGGCAATGCCACCAGCCCCATTCCCCTTCCCTCTGGGCTGATACAAAGCCCCATCTCCAACCAGCTTGGCTTTGGGGGACTCTCTGTGAGTCTTCCTTTCTCCTCCGTGTGCAGGAGACGATGGAGCCAACACTGCTTGCTTCCTCTTCCCCTGCAATGGAAAGCCCTAGATATCACTGAGAATAGTCCATCAAACCTGTGGTAGCTGAGGGTGAAGTGGGTTGGTGGCAGTTGCTTAGAGGAAACAACTGTGCAAGTGGTGTTGGAAGGAACAGCCAAGGCAGGAGATGCTCTTCACCCCAGAGAAGGAAATGCAAATGCCACAGGAAGGTTTCACCCCTCAGCCCTGCTCTCTGCTTTTGTGCCTTCCCTGTAGACTCCTCGTCCCCCCTCCAGCTCCCAGAGATGCTCTCTCTGGGACAGAATTTTTTTGCTGGGGCTTTTATTACTGTTTGTGTCTTTGAATCATTCAAAGACCTTCAAAGGGACCCGGTCCCCTCGTGCTGTGTCCTAAAAAAGAGATTTCCTGGTTAAAGAAGCCAGAGTGTGTGTAAGAGCAGCGATGGGGAGGGAAGCCAGGGGATTTACAGGTCCACTCAAACCAACAGCCACCACCGCAGAGCCCCCCCCCACCAGCAGCATCTCCAGAGGCACAAACCACAAAATGCTGATGAAAAAAAACAACACAGCAGGAATGGGTGGGCACAAACCACAAAATGCTGATGAAAAAAACCAAAACCAGCAGGAATGGGTCATATAAACTGTCATTGCCCCCCCCCACCAGCAGCATCTCCAGAGGCACAAACCACAAAATGCTGATGAAAAAAAACAACACAGCAGGAATGGGTGATATAAACTGTCATTACATCTGGAGGCTCAGGGCTTGAGTTCTCCACCACCACCGAGACCCCCAGGGAGATAAACAAAACTCGTCCCTTTCACCGAGCCCCCGTGAGTGAAGGAACAGGTGACCAAAACGTTTGGTGATTTCACTTACCCGTTTCCCGGGGGTGGGGAGTAAAAACAGAGCCATTGTGCATCCCCCCCCCCAGCAGCATCTCCAGAGGCACAAACCACAAAATGCTGATGAAAAAAACCAAAACCAGCAGGAATGGGTCATATAAACTGTCATTACATCTGGAGGCTCACAGCTCGAGCTCTCCACCACCACCAAGACCCCCAGGGAGCTAAACAAAACTCGTCCCTTTCACCGAGCCCCCGTGAGTGAAGGAACAGGTGACCAAAACGTTTGGTGATTTCACTTACCCGTTTCCCGGGGGTGGGGAGTAAAAACAGAGCCATTGTGCAACCAGAAGGGAAACAATCACGATCCCTCTAAATCTGTGTCCTCCAACTGGCAAAATATGTTTTGGAGCCGAGCAGGGACTGTACACAAACAGTGATTGCAACACCGCCGCTGCTGCAGGTTATATAAAGAGAATTGGACTTAATATTTTCTGTGAGAGTTTTAACCTTTGCAAATGAGCTGGGCACAGAGATACCGGGTGCCAGAGTCTGTCAGGAGGAAAATCATAGAATAGTTTGGGTTGGAAGGGACCTTTAGAGGTCATCCAGTCCAACTCCCCAGCCGTGAGCAGGGACGTCTTCAACTCGATCAGGTTGCTCAGAGTCCCATCCAACCTGGCCTTGAATGTTTCCAGGGATGGATCACCTATCACCTCTCTGGGGAACCTGGGCCAGTATTTTACCATCCTCATTGTAAAAAAACCCACCATGGGCAACCTGGGCCAGTATTTCACCATCCTCATTTTAAAAAAACCCCACCGTATCTTCCTTATATCTATGTTAAATCTTCCCTGTTTCAGTTTAAAGCCATCACTCTTTGTCTTGTTGCAACAGGACCCACTAAGAGGTCTGTCCCCATTTTCCCCCTAAGTCCCCTTTAGGCACTGCAAGGCTGCAATAAGGTCTTCCCAGAGCCTTCTCTCCTCCAGGCTGAACACCCCAGGCTGGTTTCCAGAGGGAGGAGTGACAACCACTGGTCCCAGCGTGGAGGGAGGGCAGGGGTGAGCGTGTTTGCCAAACCAGGCTGACAGAGATAGTAAACATGAGTGACCACAACTGCCTGGCCAGCAGCCCTGGGCTCTCTGCAGCCACTCCAGCCCCAGGGGAAGGAGTTTGAGCTGCTCAGCTGTTCCTGACAGTCCACAGCAATGATGACATGTGAGGGTGTAACCACGGTTTCTATAGAGATATTTATTGGAAGGGTATAAAAATAGAATGGGGATTTCAATAAGATGTATTTAAACGCGTCGTTGGCAAATAGTCCCACACGTTGGTGGGAGAGGAGCCCAGAAGGTTGGCAGTGTGTCCAATTCCCTGGTGCACCCAGATCCACCCAGCAAAGCAGAGCCTTGATCCCCAGAGATGGGTTATGACCCTTCTTTCTGCAGACTTTCCTGTCCCTCTGCTGCACGCTGCTCCGCTTGACGCTGCAGGCACTAGTTCATCAACCAGCCACTGGAAATGCAACTTGGGGTAGGACTTTGAGTAGACACCTGCAGAGTCCAGGTGAAATGTCTTCTGCATTGGAGAGGAGCCCTCAGCCGATAGTCACTGGAAAGGCAGCGCCTGCTCCTCCTCCTCGTGGTGGCCTGATAATGGCAGTAAATACGTGCAGGGTCACACCAGTCAGCTTAACACTGAGCAGTGTGTAAATGAGCATCTTTGGAGCTTCAGCAGTCCTGCTGCTGAAGTTGTTTCCATTCAAAAACCCCATCCAAAGTCAGATCAAAATTATCCTTTTCCTGTTCTCGGGAGAGTTCCAAAAACACCTGAAATGGGCAAGATAAAACTGATTATTCCTCTGACTCTCACTAGACACTTGGATGCTCCTGTACAGGAGGAGCAGCCCTGCAGCCCCTCTGGGAGGTGTGTGAAGTAGCTTTCTACCAAGGGCATCCGTGCCTTGGATGTGCTGGGTGCCTGGCTCCGGTGAGTAGAGTCAGGCAGCAACGCTTTTCCTTGGATTGTTCCCACCATGCTAAATCCCAGCAGTGAAAAAAAAACAATTTTCCACCACTTTCCCAGCAGAGGACTCCTCGCCACCACCCCCAGGCAGCAGCCCTCTGCCCTGCACTGCCCGGGGTCTCACTGCAGCTTTGGGCCCTGCTTATGCCTTTACAGCGTGTCCAGCCTTGAAATCATCTGCCTGAGCCAAAGTATTCAAAGAGAAGCTGTACTCCTCCAGGCTGAAGCTTCGTTTGGCTGTGGAGAAAGGGAAAGAGAGTTAAAAACTAGCAGCCTGTGTTCCCCCTTTTCAAAAAGTCATCTTGTCTCGCTCTTACCTTCCTCCAGCTTGGAGAAAGACTGAGACAGGGGCAGTGCATCTTCCATTGGGACCTTGTAGACGAGCAAAGAGGGGAATCTTGAAGAAAAAGAAGAAAAGGTGATTCTTGCTCTGTATTGAGGTTCTGGAATCAAAACTTTATGTCATGCTATTAGCCGGATTAATGGGCATTTTGCTGCAGGGATCCCAGCAGGGCTGGATGTGGTGACATTATCAGATCAGATCCCCACACAGGGACTCTGAGCTGTTCGTCCCTCTCCAGCTGAGATCCCATGTCTGGCCATCACACTGGGCACATTTTTAGGGATGAGGTAGTGTGGAAACTTCTGTTCATCCCATGTCTTATAGTTACCTCTCCTGACGGGCTGCACTTGGGAAAATCCTCAAAATCTCTGCATGGAGAAGATCAGTGAGCTCCGGATCCTTGACCTTAATTTCCAGTAGATAGCCTTTGCCAAACTTGTTCTTCAGGTACTGAATGGAGCCAATGCACCTGCAGGGGAGGGAGGGAAAAATAATAATAATAAAAAAAAGATGACAATTTTCTGGTCTTTTTTTTCAAACAGCCTCGAAGCTGCAGAGCATTCACTATTCTGTTGGGAAAGGAAACAAATGAAAAAGGAACATTTTTGTTATTCCCAACTCAGTACTCTCATTAAGAATTCCCCAAATGATATGAAAAAGGAACTTTCTTCCTGTTGCTCTTGACTCCTGCTTGTTGTCATTAAACATTTATTATGTTATTAAAACTTAAGTGAATATTTGAAGCAAAGTGTACTGAATAAGCCACAAATTCTTTTCTAAACCCATCATTAGTGTCAAGAGCATTATAAATCCATTCCACCCTGCCCGTGTCAGCTGAGCAGGCAGTATTAGGCACCCTTTCTTGTAGGGCCAAACTATAACATTAGAGATTTTAGAAATGCTTCCTAAATATAACATACTTAAAAGGACATTAGTGGTAAATTTATCCCTACTAAATGCACTCAGGCAAATTGCAGATTTTCTTAACCCACTCACTTTAATCATGGCATTTAGCACAAAATCACTTTTGCAGCTCCATTTCCTGAGTTTCTTTCAAGGTTGCCTCTGGCTCAGTAAATTTTGATTTTCTGGTCCCCTCCCCGCACCCCAGGACTAGGGGATAAAACATTGACCGACCCCCGGAGAGACCCTCCGTCAAAGTTAGAAGTAGCTCAAAATATTTTTTATTAATATATTAGTTATTAGCATAATGCATTCTGTTAAAACCTTGATTTCTAACAATGCTTTCAAAAAAATTATAGCTTAGCTGAGGTGCAAGGTTTTCATTTGGGCTTTTATCATGGCTCTATTCCTTTTCCCCAGGCACCTCCTACCTGCCCAGCAGTTGGTGTCGTCTCCCCAGCAATCATTCTGATGGCTGTGCTTTTCCCAGCTCCGTTGGGCCCCAGAAGTCCTAATACTTCTCCTGGAATCAATATATACAATTTCTTAATAGTACTTCCCATTCAACAAACATACCAGGCACAGTCCCATAAAATAAAAATAAATAAATAAAAGAGAGCATGCTGGTATCAAAAACCATATGAAAACAAACAGTATAAATATATGCTCTGAGAGCCCATAACGTTTGAGCTGTAACTGATGCTGCGAGTCTGAGGATTGCCCCCAGGTGTCCCAAAAGCTACTGCTGATGTGGACCCTGCAGAGAGTAGGCTGTGTTGTTGTGGACAACAGAGCGTCAAAGGTAAATAATAGGATGCATCCACATCACGTTACTCATTCAAAAGCCACTGCTGATGTGGACCCTGCAGAGAGGAGGCTGTGTTGTTCTGGATAACAGTGTCAAAGGTAAATAATAGGATGCATCCACATCACGTTACTCATTAACACACCAACCACAGACTGAATAGAGTTTATCTTCTTCCAAATATTTCTGGTCGGTCTGCAGGAGAGGCACATCTGTGCTGCAATGGGGCAGCAGGCACCGAAATGCTGGAAAAACCGCGGGGCAGCAGGCACCGAAATGCTGGAAAAACTGCTCCAAGAAATGGTCTTCCATGGGAACACGCTGCAAACAGACACACAGGCACAGCACGGCAGGAGGATGGGGCAGGGACTGGGCTCAGGGGCAGGAACCTGTATTTTGCCGTCGCTCTCTGAATAGATTTTTGTCTTCCAGATGATCTCACTGAATCCAGGTGCATAAAAATTTGAATTTAGCACGTGCTAATGACCTCTAGACTTCCTTAAGGAAGCTGTGAAGTCACACCTGTGGTCACTTGGTCACTTTTTCACCCAGCAGAAGCAAGGTGTAAGCCAGCCTGTGCCACCCGAGTGCATTTCCACAGCTGAGATGGGATTTGGGTCCCAGCGAAAGCAGGTTTCCAGTTTGTCCTTCATTTTAACATTTACACAGAGTCATCTCAACAAGCTGACACACCGCTGGAGTTTCAGCTTCACACCCAGGAAATCACTTTTTCACCCAGCAGAAGCAAGGTGTAAGCCAGCCTGTGCCACCCGAGTGCATTTCCACAGCTGAGATGGGATTTGGGTCCCAGCGAAAGCAGGTTTCCAGTTTGTCCTTTGTTTTAACAGTCACACAGAGACATCTCAACAAGCTGACACACCGCTGGAGTTTCAGCTTCACACCCAGGAAATCCCAGGAGGGATGGAGAGCCGGGGCATCCCGTTGCAGATGTCCCACGTGTCCCCCCTCAGGGCTGCCTGGCCCCCAGCCCCGCTCTGGGGGGTTTGGGGAGAACCCAGCAGAACTGATCTCATTGCTCCTTCAGGATTTCAGAGGGGATTTTTAAGAGCGTAAAATGGACAGAAGAGTTAAAATCCAATCTTTAACCCACACTGCCTGTAGGGAAAGAAATCTGCTCCTCACATGCGCTGGATTACTTAAAATACCGGGCTGAGCTGAGCCTACCTCATCCCCTTAGCACCAAGAAACACTGGAAATGCATCTCTCCCGTAAACTGAGTTCTATCGATGTGTTATTTCATATCAAAGGAAGGTGAAGAAGACTATTGCCTTTAAACAGTCACTGAACTTAATCACAAGCTTAACTCAGACTATTCCAAAGTGTCTCACCCAGCATTGTTAATAGTGTTACTAATTACCGGATGTTTTCATACTTTTTAGATAACAATTTTTATTTGTTTTAAGAAGAATGTTTAAGCCTTACCTCAATGGGAGGGTTTGAACGGGATCCAGAGCTTGTCCTTTGCAGGCTGCCCGTGCAAGGGGAGATGCTGAGCCTGCCTGGTTGTCCCAGCAGCTCTCAGGGCTCCTTTGTCCACGCGCCCGTTTTTTCACTCAGGCTCTTCTGCCAAAAGGCATTCCTCACACCAGCGCCTCGCTTTTCCCTGGCTTCCTCCCCCCCTTCCTCCTTGGCAGATCCTCAGATTTATTTACGTTATAACAAGCAAACAGAGCATATTGTTGTTGAGTTGCTGGAGCAGATTCTCTGAAAAGTTGCTCAGGAAATTCTTGACTCTCGGCCAAGAGAAGAAAAATGAGCCCAACAACAAACCGCACAAAAAAAAAAAAAAAAAAAAATCCTTTCTCTGGCAAACTCCGTTACGTTTCTCAGTGCAGCAAGAGAGGCTGGATTCAACAGAAATATTAGGGCACGGTGGTGAGGAGTGAATGGCGACTGTCACTTATCTCTGAAAGGCAAAGATTTTGTTTGCAAACTGCTTTGGTGCCACCAGCCCCGGGGTGGGAAGAGCCATGAAGCTCTGCCTCCTGGACAGGAACCGCTCCTCTGATTACAAAACATACTGTAAACATTAACATCAACTTCTCTGGACTAACTTGGTGCTTCCAAAGGGAAGGGGTTTGATTTCATCCCCAGGCTGAGCACGTGGCTGTGGAGTGCTCCTGCCCCTCCATCGCCCACCGCAGCATCCCTGGCCACAGCAAGGACCAGGAACCAATGGTGGAAGGAAGAAGCAACAGCTGGGACAGAGGCTGGGCTTGGGAATGCAGAGGAGCTGGATCTGCTTCCCTTTGCTCTGCCTGGTGGAAAGAACCCACTCCTAACATATAAATAACCTTCAGATGTCTAAACGCAGGCAGACTCCAGGGGTGTATTAAATCATGCACAGAATGAAGTTAAGACCTGTCCCCAGTCCATCTCCCAGGTGCACAAACCTTTTCCTCCCCTTTCAGGTCCTCCTCACAAAGGGAAAAACAACACAAACCTGAATTTAAGCAGAGAAGTGGGTATGCCAGGTCCCAGCCAGTGAATCTCAAGCAAAGACACCTCCCTGCCTACCTCTGCGACAGATTTGGAGATCCATATGGGAATTAGCTCTCTGGATCTGAAGGGTGGATGCTTGGGGGGCTTTTCCTGGCAGGAGCAGCCCATCACTGAGCCAGGGCAGCCACCTGCTGGTACCTGCTTGCCCACACCCCTGCCTGCATTGCCCACACCTGCACCATCCGTACCTGCACCCCCAGCAGCATCCACATGAAAGCAGAGGAGACCATGACATGGGTGAGCGTCTTCTGCTGGGTCTGTCCCATGGGGTAGCACTGTTCCTGTACCCTGGTGGGTCCCCAGCCCATCCTTCCCTTGTGGACAGGGCAACAGAAACCAGGGGAAACATCTGGCTATCTGCATATAGGGAGTTTCTAATTTTTTTTACTATATTTTATTTATTATTTAAGGCTAACCCTGGCAGACAGATGTCCAAGAAGAGATTCTGATTTCCCACCAGTGCCCACATCTCCCCCAATCACCCACAGAGAGTGGGTGCTAGTGAGGAGCCCACCCCATCTTCCCAACCACCAAAGCAAGTCAGACACACGTGCTGTGGTCAGAAGACCTGTTCAGACTGCTGTCCTGCTCCAGCTTTACTTCGAGTCAAAGCACATCTTATTTTGACTCCAGATGATAATTGTTTTGATTTTTTTTAAGATGGTGTTCTAAGAGCCAGGGGTTTTTTTGTGGTTTTTTTTTTTTTAAGATGGTGTTCTAAGAGCTACCAGTTTTCATTACACTTTTCCAGGGACTGTTGAGTCTTTTCCTCTCTCCATGTCCCCAGAGGTGGGGACCAGAGATGCACCAAGGTGGCTGAGTTAGAAGACACTGCAACAGCAGCTTTTTGGGTCAAAACACAGCCCCCACCCCCCTCCACCAGAAAACGCCACCTTCGTTGGCCACACGACACCAACCAGAAAGATGCTTCTCAGGACTGAGTAAATCAAAGCTCTGGTGTCCTCCCGCCATGTATGACTGAGGCCACCAGTTTTCATTACACTTTTCCAGGGACTGTTGAGTCTTTTCCTCTCTCCATGTCCCCAGAGGTGGGGACCAGAGATGCACCAAGGTGGCTGAGTTAGAAGACACAGCAACAGCAGCTTTTTGGGTCAAAACACAGCCCCCACACCCCTCCACCAGAAAACACCACCTTCGTTGGCCACACGACACCAACCAGAAAGATGCTTCTCAGGACTGAGTAAATCAAAGCTCTGGTGTCCTCCCGCCATGTATGACTGAGGCTTTCAGACCCTCTTCTGAGTTTGTACATGATTCTCTCCAATGACTGAGCTCCCCCCCAGCCTCTTGGGACCAGAAATTCATCCCAGCAGGGTTATTCCTCAGCACAGCGTATCTTCCCGAGTCAGTCTGAGCAGGGGCACAGAAGGATGGCAGGCATCGATTTGTCAAAGGATAAAGGCTTTATTTATCAAAACAATAATTATTTTTTCTTTGTGAGGCAGAAAACCTGCAGAGCAGTACGTGCTGTGACACAGAAAACCAAGCCTGAGGGCTGCGTCCGATCCCACGTATCAGTAACACTGATGAAATAAGCTGAATATTTTCCTTGGTGGCTCTGAGGGCTCAGAGGTGAAGTGGTCTCTGCTCCACAGCCCTGTTGGATGCCGCATCCAGGTCGTGCTCCTCCAGGTCCTGGGTGAGGTCTAGAAATGCCTGTGATGTGCCACAGCAGAAACACCACCATTATTGCCAAGGTCTGATGGTACCTGCACCCGTCAAAGGCTATTTCTTCTTTTCATACAGGCAGTTTCTCACCTGTAACTTCTACACCAACATACCTGTTGCAAAGTGTGCAATGACAAGCTGTACTCCTCAAGCCTGAAATTCTGTTTAGCTGTGGAGGGGATGGAGAAGGCATCCTTAAAAAGCAAATTCATATGGACAGTTTTAAAGCAATCTTCATACTTAATTGTTTGTTTCCTTTTACCTGCTTCCAGCTTGGAGAAAGACTGGGACAGAGGTAGCGCATCTTCCATTGGTATCTTGTAGATGAGCAAAGAAGCCGTCCTGAAAAAATAATAAAAAATGAATTCATTATTTCATGACTCGGCTCCAGGGTTTAGGGGTGCTTGTAAGGTTATTGTACCCCCAGATAAATTATTGAACAAGGTCAGTAGGAGCACCAGAGCCCCCAGCACGAGTCCAGGCTGGGTGTGCAGAGACCTTTCTTGCCGAGCCGCGCGGGGGAAGAGGCGCAGGATTTCGGCGTGGAGAGCATCGCTTTGCCCTGTGTCCATCATTTTGACTTCTAAGTGGTAACTCGTGCCAAACTTCCTTTTCAGATCCTCAAGGGAACCAATGTACCTGCAGAGGAGGGAAAACAGTGCTCAAACCATCATAATGAGCAAAGAAAAGCAGGATACAAGCAGTAGATCGGCACACATCCTCTTATTCACCAGCTCTTTAGACTGTGCTGCTAAAACAATCTACCTCTTTACAAAGCTATGTTCATTACACGCTTAGGAAATGTTGGTTTGGCTTATCCCATTAGAAAGAAGAAAAAGAAGAAGAAGAAGAAGAAAAAGAAGAAGAAGAAGAAAAAGAAGAAGAAGAAGAAAAAGAAGAAAAGGAAAAAGAAAAAAGAAAAAAAGAAAAAAAAAAGAAAAAAAAAGAAAAAAAAAGAAAAAAAAAGAAAAAAAGAAAGAAGAAAAAAGAAATAACAAACCCAACAAAAAATGCTACCACCACCACCCCCCCACCCGGAGTGACACCCAGGTGACACCCCGGTGAGCGATGTGACCCCGGCACCCACCGTAGCTGCCCTGACACCAGGATGGCCACCCGGTCACACATCGCCTCCGCCTCCTCCAGGTACTGGGTGCTGAGGACGCCTGCCCGCTCCTTGCCTTTCACAGCAGCCTGAATCACTCTCCTGGGAACAGAGGGATGGCAGTTACTCCCAGGAGCAGCCAAAGAAAACATCCCGTTTTGTGTTTCCCTCCCCAAAACCAACTGAAATTACAAAGCTTATCCCCCTTTTTTATAGTTATTTAAAAGACTTGCGTTATTTTGCTTGAAGATTACACGTATATGTCAATACTACATCGCAATTTGTCACGTCAGCATCCCTCCAAATCTTACACTTTCAGTGTAAACTGGTGATGAAAAGCTAGAGCAAGCACTAGGGCTGAGCGATGGAAAGAACTCCCTATAGTTTTTTCTCATGCTCTGAAGAAACTGGGATTTGTGTCTTTTATACCAAACGCATGGGTTCAGCAGGAATCTGCTCATATTTTTTTGCTGCACTACCCATTAAGCTTCCATCTGATGGTTTGTGAGGGGTTACTGCCTGCTGTGTAAGGCGTTTAGTGAGTGGTACCCCCTCCCCTGTGCATCAGGGGAAAGCAAAGCACAGATGCTCTGCCACCGAGGCAGCAGCTCTTTGCCTGCCCGACGGTGACTACAACACGGGGGGTAAGACCCATCCTGCTAAATCTGTTCTGCACTTCTCAGTTCTGCTCACCACATACGGCGCTGCCCTCTCAGGTCCATGCTCACCGACGGCTCATCCCAAAGCATCACCCTCGGGTCCCCCAGGACGCTCAGCGCAAAACTCAGCTGCAAGGGGAAAGACACCGAGGTCAGGTCAGGTCTGCTCTTACTTTTTCCTGAAAAACTAGTGAGCTGTCATGTTACATCTTAATCCTTGTGAATCTTTCAGAAGCTGAAGCTCTTGATTCCGAAATGCAGGAGGGAAAGGGATTAAAAAAGCCGCCCACCTCAGGTGTTCTTCGTTAACGTTTTAATCTCCAAAAATAATCACTGACACTCTCAAGCCTGCCAAAGGTCTGAAAGTGGTTTTCCATCCCATTTACTGGCAGATACACATGATGGGGCATGAAGAGGGGATTGCCTTGGAAATCCAATTTGTGCTTAGCATTTATTAAACACAGAATGTGGGAGAGTGGGGAAAGGAGGGGGGGGAATCCTGCCAGGCTGGATGCAAAAGCTGTTGATGAAAACCCACTCTGCTGTACTTGCTTCTGCGCTAGGAGGAAGTAAGTCCCTTTTAAACCATGAAGTTCTTTCCTAATGACATCAAATTTGCAGATTTTTTTAAATTTGACTTGAATTTCAGGCTTTCCTCCAAGGAGAAAATTTCCACTTCATGAAACAAACATGCAGGACCATATCCTGCTCCTGCTGGCACCAGGGCAAGGAACCCAACACATCCTCAGGCTTGAATGAAGGTTTCTGTCCACCATGTTGAAGGAAAAGAGAGCAGGATTTGCTCAAGTACATAACCCAAATATGACACGTACCTTTCTGGCTTCCCCAGCAGATAACCTCCTAGCTGGGGTCTCTAAATGCTTCTGGAGATCCAAGGCCTTTGCTACACTGTGAGGGAAGGAAAGGAAAAATACTGAAATGAGCATCTGTGTTTGCTAAGGCTGTGGGGAGGGGTCCTGAGGAACTCACACACGTGTTCTGGCATCACCTTGGCTTATTTGGTGATTTGACTCCCAGCCTAGATGGGAAATTAAGGATCTTTTGCAGAAACTCAAGACTGTAAGCACAGCTAATGAGAGAAGTGAGTCACTCATATAACTGGCCACGATGTTTTTTTATCATCAGTTAGGTTGATGGTTGGACTGGATGTTCTTAAAGGTCCCTTCCAACCTAGACAATTCTATGATTCCATAAGTTTAATTTTTCCCTTCCAACCTAGACAATTCTACGATTCCATAAGTTTAATTTTTTCCCCTGAAGTTTTCTAGGTAAACTAGGATTAAAATCTTCATAGACAAGGGATTGAGAACAGTATAAAGTAGCAGATCTTGTCAGAAGGAGACCCAGTTTCTCCAAGGCAAAGCTAAAAATAGAAAAGCTAGGATCATTGGGCTTTGTACCGGCTGATATGAACAGGTGCCTCCTCCTTCCACATCCCCCTCAGGGCAGCATAGACCTCCAGGTGCTGGAGCACGGTCAGGTCTGGCCAGAGCGGGTCCCGCTGGGGGCAGCAGCCCAGGCACCCCGGGGGGGACGTGGCTGCACCCCAGCCCTTCAGCAGCACCTGCAGGGACACACAGACCTCGTGTTATTCTGGGGTGAAGCAATAAAACCCTTGGAAACACGCTAAGGTTTGCTCCTGTGTTGTCAGGAACCTCGTTAGCACGTGGGAAAGGAAGCCCAGCATCTCTGGGGGGATCATCTCCATCTACCACGACATCGCCCCAAGCCAGGGCAGCGTTTTCACAAAACCAAACAGGATTTTCTGCCATCAAACTCCGGGTAACGGCACCGACATGAGGCTATCTTTCCCTAGGAATACTTTTCCGTTTCAAACACTCAGTCCCAAATCTGTAACAGCAATGGCATTTTCCCTCCCCCTCATATGTCATTAATCATCCTGCACATAATTAAATGATGGATTGTTACTGGCCCAACCCTGTTCACATTCGTTTTCAATTTCCTGGTTTTGCAAGGCTGTTTATGAACAGTGTTATTTTTTTTTTAGATGTCAACATTTCTTACAGGCTGGTGAAATTTCTTGGTGGGTTTCAAATGCACACTGAAGATTTTGAGTAGCTCAAACCCCTAAATCTGTAACATTGATTTTGGTGAAAACTAGAACGTGCTGTGATTAAATCAACACTTTCTTCTTACTTCTGCAAATATCCAGGGTTACCTGAACATAAATTTCCTCACTTAAGGCTGTGTTACTGGCTTGTGTTATCACATCCTTCATTGATAAAGGCATCAGGATCAACCCCCAAATGTTCCAAAGAAATCACTTACCTCCCCAGCAGTCACCGCTACGTCCCCAGAAATCATATTGATAGTTGTGCTTTTTCCAGCTCCGTTGGGTCCTAAGAGACCTAGTATTTCTCCTAGAACAAACATGCAAGAATGTTAATAATAATCATTGTTAATGTGATTTTCTTCCCTGCATCGTAGGCAATATCTGAAAGTACAATAGGAGAAAGGGCTGTTCATTAACATAAATTAAAATTGTGAACACAGGAACACGGGGCATCGGGTCTGGTTGCCCGCAGGAAAGTTCTAGCAAAAACATGGTCTCCAATTGTGACCTTCACATCAGATTTTAGAGTCATTTATAGGGGGTACAGCAAAATACTTAAACCTTTTTTAACACTGAAAGAGAGGTTTTTGACAGCAACTTTCTTCTTTTTCTTTAAGATGGAGCTGGCTTTCTTGTCTACATATTCCTTGCGCAAACTGTTGACGACGATAACTGAGTCCTGTGAAGAGATGAAGTGGGAAATATAAACTCTCCTTCTGTCCCGTGAGACAGCTCATCTGTTCTTACCATTAAATATGACTCTTTAAAGAGAAATTTTCTAAATTAAAAGTCCAGGAAACAGAGCAAGCAAAAAAAGGAAGAAAAAAAAAAAAAAGCAGAATGGGAGTAAAAATATAGTGCCAGGGAAACTCCTTGTGGTGCCAGGGTGACCGTGGGCTGGGTGGTGAGATGTGCCCTTGGACAGCAGATCAGTAAATAAGTGGAGAAGCTGAGAGAGCAGAGACAGACCCAAAGGTGGAGAGTGAAAAAGAGAAGAAGCCAGAGGCTGGTTTCACCTCCTCCTGGTGCAGGGAGCCCATGGTGCTCCTCACCCGCTCCCGCTCCGCATGGACCTCTGGGGCCTCCTCCCCGGGGAGGTCCCTGTTCTGGTGGGGAACCGCTCTCCTCCGCTGGACCCTGCCAGGGGAGCAGGAGAGATGGTGTCAGCGGGAATCACTCCCAAAAAAGGCTCAGATTTAGGGGTTTGTTCCCAGTATCTGAATTCAGGAAGGTGTTCCACAGTGTTTGCTCAAATACTTATTAGTGGAAAAGAAGAAAAAAAAAATAAATCCCACTGGCATGCATGAGAAAATCAAGGGCAGATTTTGCTTTTCTTTCATCACTAATATTGACCGGTGCCTGCTCGATACACGCCAATGATCTGTTCAAGAATTACAATCCACAGGGTGGGTTTTCAAAGCCATTTGGGCGTTTAGCTCCTTGCTGAGACACATTTCCTAAAGCCTGACAGTTTAATACTTTTTACAAATCTCCGCCCACATGACCTTGGTGGTCAGTCACATGCTGCTGGTGACAGATACACAGAGAGCAGGTAGTAAGGACCTGCTTTAGGGGAAGTCTCCATCCTGCAGAGAGCCACACTGGCACATCTGAAAGGAGTTAAAATGTTGGATTTCAATCTGTAAATATTGATTTATCCAGCTGTAGTGAAATGTCCTGAAACCTCAGCTATGAAGCTTAGTAAAAAAAAAAGCTCAAATCACATTTATTATTCTCTCCAGGACGTTGTAGTTCAACTGACCTTCTATTGCAACACACTGGGTGGGAGTTTGTCTCCAGACACATTCAGGAAAACTCCAGTAAGTAAAGTCGGAAACTGCCACGACCCAAAGGAATAAAAAAAAATCCCTCCCTTCGTTCTCAATTTCCTCCTCTCCAGATAAGCTGGTTAAAACTGAAAATATGGGCTTTATCCATGCTTTGCAAAATGTTTTTAAGCTCACTCCTGCTCTCCTGCCAGCGGGGGTGAGCCAGGAGGGTCCGGCCGGGCTGAGGGGCTCCGAGCCCTCCCTGCAGAGCGGGGTCACCCTGGCCCACGAGGTACCCAGCACCCCAGGTCCTGGCACCCCCCTGCCCAGGACACACCTGAAGATGGGATCAAGTCTTGTAACTGCTTCTCCGTATCTCATCTCCAGACAGCGCAGCAGAAAAGCAAAAATCACACAATGGATGTAAGGCTGGAAAGCAATAATGAATTAGGTTTCTATGGAGACAAGGTAACAACACACTTGATTAATTTTAATTATAAGGTGATGCAGGGACCTCTCTCATTTCCTTCAGCTATTGAAAAGGTAATCATATAGGTCCAAAAGGGGAAGAAGTTAAACTGATGCTTCGCATACATTTCCATCTCATTTGCAAAAGCCTGGACTTCATGCTGCAGTTTTAGCTCAATCTGCAGCCCAGCGGACATCTCACAGGACCAGAGATGCCAGCATTCTTTTGTAGGAGCAGCATTAGACTGATTAGTTGATTAATAACATCTCTGCCTTATACATGAGCTCCACTTAATTCCCCCACCACTTCTCCCACATAATAAGGTACAGCCTCCAGGGGTCACGTGAGGCACGAGTCCACGATCCCTGGGATGTACAAACAATTAATGGGAAACTTTGGCCACATAACCCATGCTTCATTTATGGGGAGAATTACACAATCCCAGTACAAGTCCATCTCATTAGAACAGTCATCCTTTCTGAAACAACCATCGTCAAATCGCTCCTTACTGCAAAGACAGCGACGAAGATGTGATTCCACGACTCAAGAAGATCAGTATGAAAACTTGAAAAACGCTACAAGAGGAAAATATCAGTCAATTAGAAAAATTCCTCAGCACATGTGCCTCAGTGGAGGGTTGGAGCAAGCATGGCATATGGGGATGCTTAGCTTTTCTTCAGGGTGGGATAAAGGAGCTTTGTTCTGTACTTATTTTTGGGGGTTGATACTGCCTCAAAGAGCTGCATCTTCCTTGGCTACAGTTAATTCAGGGATGCCTCAAGTCTGCCAGGTGAAAGGGACCATTTCAATCATGGTTTCCCTCCTCCCAGTCCTTTCTGCCAAGCTCCCTTCATCCCTCCAGTTCTTCCCACTCCACTGCCTTCCCCTCCCACACCACCCTGGCTGCCAAAATACAGTCACCATAATGGCTTTTTGTAACTAAATAAAGCAAAAATATCCCAAGCAAACAACGGATTAACAGCTCAAATCTTGGTCCCTTCCCTCACTCCACAGCATGGGACCCTGCCTCCTCCTGTTGTCTTTTCTCACTGTTTTTTTAGCACTTTGAGACAGGGAATTTGGAAAGTGCCTCTTGCTTTCCCAGTTTGCACCACTAGGACTGTTACTGAATTTAGCAGGACAAGTTCACTTACTGGTGTAGAAAAGATCAACCAGCCCAGTGGTGGAAACACAGGAATTAAAGTAGAGAAGGTGAAATAAAGTGCATCGTGTAAGTCACTGATCATATAGAGAGTGAAATTCACCTGGAATAAAGCAGAAACGTATTTCTAATATTAATGTATTGTTGCTAAAAAATAGGCTGTTTATTACTGGCTTGGGTTATTCTGCTGAGTATTAGTATTTTTTAAGCGAAACTTCAAGTGGCAGAATGTGTAAATCGAACACTTCAAAGCGAAGATTCACTTCACTTACCAGGATGAAGATGAAAGACCAAATGTAACGATTGCTTCGCCCCATGCGGAACTGAAAGGCAATTAAATAGACGAGGAGAACAAGGGATACTCCATAACCAACGAGGCAAACGATCTAGAGAGAGAGACTGAGGTCAGTGACTGGGAGATGGATGCAGGAATATGCAAACCAGCCTAGAGCAATCCATTTTGATGAAAATATTGAATGCCAAACCTCCCCGGGAGCTGAGGGAGGCTTGTCCCTGCCTGCATTCCTGCAGGTGCAGAGCTCACCAGGAGCAGGACGGCGCTGGCCTGCAAGGGGCAGATGCGGTTGAAGAGCAGCATGATGCCCAACATGAGGCCCACCAGGGTCCAGAAGAGCGGGATGTCCACCAGGGCCTGCCCACACCAGTAGGCCGAGGGGAAGAGCCCCGCCAGCCGCAGCTGGGCACGGGCCTGGAGCTGTGGAGCAAACGGGAAAAGGGAGGTGATTCAGCAGAGCCCAAAATCCCATTCCTGCTCCTCCTCCTCCTCCCTTACCCTCCCTTCTCCCCTCCCTGCCTGAGCCTTCCTCTCCCTCCTGAGCACTTTCAGTTCCTTCTCGGTTTTAGTGCTGTTTAGAAACACATCATTCTTAAAAAGGAGAAAAAAATAAATTATCATCCTTCCCCCAAAATATTTATTAACACCCAAATTGTCCTGAGCCCAAGCCAATTCACAGAATCACAGAATCTTAGTGGTTGGAAGGGACCTCCGAGATCATCGAGTCCAACCACATTAAAAAAAAAACCCAAAACAAACAAACAAAAAAACCCCACCACAAAACCAACAAACCCAAAACCACCACCCACCAACTAAACCCCACACCCACAACCCCACACACTACACCCCACCACAAATCAATAATCTTGGGCACTAGAGCATGCCCTGAAGAGCATTCCCTGAGATGCTGGGTAACACGCTTTGGTACAACGTTGTACTCATGTGGCTGAATTTTTTTTAGCATCCTGCCTAGAGATGCTGGCCAGCTTGTTGGGACGCAAACTGCTACCCAGAGACATTGCATTTGTACTCATTTTTTTTGTGTGTACAATCGCTTTCAGTGTGTGCTTTTTACCTTGTAATCCTCCATGCTGCTCACTGCAAAGTGAGGAGGCAAACCAGCAGCCAGAATCAGCAAGTAGCTGAGACAGATGAAAAAAATATCACTCTTTATTTCTGCGTTTTGCATCTGCAGAGTAGAAATTCAGAAGGCATCAGTAACCAGCAGCTGCCCAAGGAAAAACCTGGCCAGGGCAATGCTCGTAGGATGGCTAAACATGCAAGTGAACAACAGCACTTATGGTAAATAATTTGTGTTTAAGATCACAAAATAAAACAATGAACAAAAGCATTTAGGCAAAAAATATTTGAATTAGTGTAAATTGTTGAGGATAGAGACTGTCTTTTTCATGATGGTTCTCACCAAATGGATGCCAAACAAAGTAATGCTTGCAAATATTATTGTTATATTCCTACATATTGCCAGAGCACAGGATTTAATGTCTTTGATACCAAAGAACTCTTAAACACTGCAGAAGAAACTCTCATTAAATAGCCCTGGCATTGACGGCTGAGAAAGGCCCCCAGCAGTTGCACCACTGACCCCAGCTCTTGGAGGTTGCTCATCCAACCACATTTCCAACCCAGCCAGTCCTCATCACTTCAGCATGGGCTATTTCAATTCATTTTCCCCAAGCAAGGCAGGACACTCACGCCATAAAAGGGCTCGCTCCAGACGCGGATACATGCGGTGGAATTGAAGAGCCTCAGGAAGGAGTTGCTGAGGATGTTCAGGAGCACAGGGAAGCAGTTGATGGGCTCCACGCTGCACATGACTGTGAATCGGTAGCTCTGAAGACATAAGAGCACAAGAGGTTACCTCCACGTGTCAAAAGGGGTGGGAGGAGGTGGAGAAAAGCCATGAGAAATGCAATCAGACAGTTTTACTGAAGAGCAGGAACATGGAGACCTGGAAGTGCACAGGTACCCCGAGAAAAATGATCAAATAAAACCAGTAATTTCTGGAGAAAAGCCCAAAAGACTTGCATTAATGCTTTTGTGTAAAGATCGCTCTAGAAAAGCCTACAGTGGAAAGAACCAAATGTTTTCCTGGTTTCCCACAGTGTTACTGATAATATTTAGTATGTCAAATAAATATTCTCCCTTTTGCTGGTGTGTGCATTTTGCTGTGCCTCATTTAAACACATTTCAGAAAATCCTGTTGACATACAGGATGGAAAAAAAAAAATAATTCACTCACCTTGCCTTCCAGGGATATTTTTAGAGCTCCATTATGTAGCGGAATGCTTGTGATGTTTTTCTCAAGAGTTATTTCTGGGATTATGTTTTGAGCCTTCAAAGCAGCAATGAAATCCTCAATTTCTGCTCCTGAAATCAAGTCAAGAACTTGGTTTTCCTCTGAATATAAAAAGTTTCTTATAGACAAGTTCCCACTTGCAAAGCAGAGGTATGTTAAAAACCCCAACATTTAGAATCTAAGCAAACTTATATTGTCTCTATTTTAATTAAATGAGTTAAACAAAATGTATGTTTCCATAATTTGTTTATTGCTTTTTTTAATTTCCTTTTTAATTTGCCTGGTTCATTACTCTTTTAAATATCAGCTATTCAGTTATCACCACTAAAATTGGATTTGCATTTGCCCAAGAGAAGACAACTTCCCAAAGCCACAAGTATATAAAGGAACGTACAGAAAGAGTAAGGCAAGGTTGGTCTATCAACTCTAAGAGGACTCAGAGCGGTGCAGAAAGTGAAGCAACATCACACGTTCTTCTTCACCTGTATCATTGAGGATGAGGAGATTTGTCGACTTATTTTGAATTTTCTCTGCAGTGGGAAGAAAATACGAGCTAGCCGTGATTTCCCAGTTGCTGGAGCTGTCCCACAGTTGAAATCCAATGAAAATCACAAGCATTGGAAGGATAAACATTCCAAAGAACAGCAATCTAGGTGGAAAAACAGACCACAAGTGGGTCCAGGGGAACACCACCTTTAACAAACTGGGATTTATGTTGAGAAAGGCAAGGGGAAATTTAAAACTACCAGTAAATTCTAACTGTCCTTATTACTGCAGGTTTTTTTCCTACCTAATTTTTAGCTTCCAAACTCCTCCACTACTACTCAAGCCTTCTCTCAGTCGCTCAGAGGAACCATCAAACCCTTTGGAGAGCACCAAGCCAGCATGGGGGCTGCAAGCTGGGCCAGAGCTCCCACACTTACATGGATCTGAGAAACTTTCCCTCGTGCTTTAGTTTTAGGAAGCGAACTCTCGTCAGGGCACACACTTGCTGCCTCCAGAGCGCCATCCCGCTCAGCTCCACGCTCCCCTGCTCGGAAAACACCAGGAGGCTTTGGTCCCTCTCCTCAAGGTCTCCATCTTCTGCATGTTCAACATGAGAAACATCGTTACCCACAAAGAGCATTCAACGGACACGTTCAAATGCAAACAACCAACAAGGATGTTCTGTTCTGAATAGAGGAACACTTTCATTTTTAGCCAGAAAATAAATAAGGGCAGAGAAAAAGGGCCATAATTTATCCAGAACATAATTTACGTTGGTGAATTCAGACTGGCTGGACCTGGGCTCGTGTGGCAACACATCCAATAGCTTCACTGACCTTCTGAAATGCCTTCTGGCCAGCTTATCTCTTCCTACCTCCTGATTTACCCTTCAAAAGCAAATACCATTCCAACATCAGTCTTAATTCATGTGCTTAAAAACTTGTGGGAAGTCAAGACTGAATCATTGAGACTTCTTCAAGAAGACACCCTTTACTAAAGGAGAGCTGAATACAGCTGCAACTCTTGACCTACCAAAACCTACGAAAATTCACATTTACTAAAAACTCATTAGATATCAATTAAAGCATACGTATATACAGAACCTTAATTGTGCCACACTTGCAAATGGGAGTCAACATTTTACCTTCTTGACCAATGGCTTCCTCACCCTCCAGCTTCAGGAAAACATCTTCCAGGGTTGTCCTGCTAACCTCATAATTAACAACCCCCTGCAGAAGACTGCTCTCGAGGTGACTGAACAGATCTGCACGACAGAAACAGCTGGATTCAACCCAGGGACCAAGGCTGGTGTTGAGCAGAAACTTTGCCTTCTGCTTTTCCCACCACTTGATTTCCCTGTCCAGCCCCTGCCACAGGGATGGGCTTTTCCTACCTGGGAAGCTGTCGGTGTTCTCCAGAGGTAGCAGATACCCCAGCTCCCCCTGCTTCTGTCCTGCCAGCACGGCACCGGGGACGTACTGTCTGACCAGGGATGAAGTTAGCTCAGTGTCACACACCTCATTTATGCTCATCCTGTTTGTGTTAAAAAGCAAGTGCTATAACATTAAACGAGAAAAAAAAATAATGCGTACATCATCCATTAAAAATACAAAGCCAGTGGTTGTTCTTCAAGCCGTAGGGAAACCTCCAAAACTGGGCAGCATTTCAGTGGGAATTTTCAGAGACATCCGCAGTGCCCCTGGTTTTGCCACGTACGAGAAAAATAGCTGAGGTTAACAGTAACGATCCTGGCCAGCACTGCTAAACCAAGAACACAGAAATTAAAAACCCAAAGAAAAATAACTTCACATTGAAGCCGTTGGACATCACTCTGGCACCACTGAGCACGTGGAAATTGCAGTTCATTTTACTCTGGTCCCCTTTTGGCTGTGAAGGAGGTTGCAAAGTCATTTTAGCTGCGTGCTCAGAGCTTTCAAGATTGGGTTCCAAGGAAAAAAAACCTGCTATCCAAAGCAAGATATTTCTGGCAGCCTCAAAAGTCTTCTAAAAGGAACTGTCAAGATTTCTGTTATTCTGTATAGAAACTCTATAGAGACAGAGACTCTACAAGAAAACACATCAACTAGAAGCTTTTCACAAAAAGAGCGATGACCAAGAAGAAAAGGATTTACCTTAAGTGATAGCCAATTCCCCATTTTCTCTTCAAATACAGAGATGAGCCAACACACTGTAATCTCCCATTTGAGAGGAAAGCTTTCCGATCTAAGGAGGAAGGAATATAAAGGATTTAGGGGGGAATTACAACATTGCAGTGGGCTGACCTCACTCTGCTCCTTCTGAACTCAACAGACATTTTTATAATGAAGTTAAGCAGAGTAAAACTAGCCAGTACTTTTTTTTTTTTTTCCTTTTTTTTTTTTGTAACTGCTGCCTTCCTCCTAAGCACCGAAGTTAATCTTTTAATTACATATTCTTACAGTCTTGTGGAAAATTTCCCATGCAGCCCAGGAGCAATAAGAAAATAGGAAAGATATTAATTCAAACAATATCACTAATTTTCGTGGGAGCTGCTAGTGGTACATGCAGATAATGTGCAATTGCTTCACCCTGAAGCAGAGCGTGAGCAAGGTCTTGGAAGGGCACGTCAGTCCAGTTTTAGCCTTTGCTCAGGCTGGGTTGGGTGGTCGCTACCAGAAAAAACGTGTCCAGAGAGCACAGAGAGCATTGTGGCAGGATCCACACGCGGGCTCTGCGATGGGAAACCCTCGTTTCCAAACTGTAGGTTGACCACAGTGTGAAAACCTGGGCTCACCAGCATGAGCATCAGCCTCCTCCATGGACTGGGTCGTGAAGAGCGTCACGCGTCCAGCCTGACGTTCCTTCAGAAGGCTCCACACATGGTGCCTGGAGCAGGGATCCAACCCAGCCGTCGGCTCGTCTAAAAGCAACACCTGCAAAGGTGAACAAGACCAGACCTTCATGTGTCCAAGCCAGCATTTCCATCCTTACATCATTTCATTTCATGCTTTTATGATCTCACTCTAAGAATAAAATGCATCCTCAAATATCAGCCATTTTTATTGCTGTTTCTCCTATTACAATATTATTACCCTTTATTGCTGTTTCTCCTATTACAATATTATTTAAATTTCATTTAAAACATGGTTCTTCTTGACCTAGATTCCTTGATCCTTCCAGCAGCCAAGTGAATTAGTAGGTCAGCAGACCCGGGGTGCCAGGGCACTGCATGCCAAATCAAAATGCAAAACTACGTGCTAAAGCAGTACGACGGGTGTGTGTAAATATGACCAGTCCCTACCTGGGGATTCCCTAAAATTGCAATTCCAAGAGACAGTTTTCTTTTTTGTCCCCCACTCAGAGTATTGGCGTGGACATCCTGAAGGTCGGTGAGGTCCAACATCACGAGAACTTTCTGCACCTTGGTGAGATACAAAGACAAGAGCCAGATTTCCAAAGCACTGCTCACATTTTAATTCTTACTTGGCTACACACAGTACAGGAGAGCATAACTTCAGGATTTAGAATTTATCTACTTTAAATGGCTTTGCTGAGAGATAAGTACTGCAAATCTGAATTCTATCTGAGCATACCATGAGAAAGAACTGAAACAACACTTCCCCCCTAAATTATAGTTCTTCTCATCTCCACAGAACAAGATGCTGGTGATAATCTTTTATAAAGAAAGCTCAAAGTGTCCAAGATGCTCTAAAATAGAGGCCGGACAAGCACATACCAACCTCTTGCTCTACTTCCTTCTGCTGAATCCCCCTGATGTGAGCAAAAATTCTCAGGTTCTCCTTCACCGTTAAGGCTTCAAAATGCAAATTAAACTGGGGGCAAATCCCGACCATTGCCTGGATTCCTTCCATATCCTGAACTTCAGACACTTTGTAGTTGTATATCGTTGCAGAACCTGCACACAGACAGGAGTGAATGAAACAAGCTTCATGCTGTACAGCATTTCCCAGTTACGAGGGGACAGCAGACCGCTGTGTGTTCATACCTTTGATATTACTCCCGGCTTGTGGCTGTTTCTCAAGTGTTTAAAAAAAAAAAAGTCAAAATAACTTTGTGTTGTCCAAAGCTTTAATACCATTCAAAAATAGTTCAGAGCACCAAATCTCTCCCTTAAGAGCTAAGACATATTTCCTGCAGGTATTCATCTCATGGAAAACATCAGGCCATCCAGATGGAGAAACGGCCATCTGTGTCTGCTCGCACACATGAGCCCATCCACGAGGGATGCATCAGCCCCAAGGCTCACGTTGAAGGAACAATCTGCACTGACAACGAGCCAGACTGAATAACTGAAGGAAAAATTGGGGGTTTTGCATCTTTACTCCCTTACACTTGAAAAAAACCAAACCAACAACTTCTCGTCAGCGTTCAGATCAACCATCCTACCTGCCGAAGGCTTGGAAAATCCACTGAGCACGTTTAAGAGAGCAGTTTTTCCAGATCCACTGTGACCAAGTAATGCAGTGATCTGGCCCTCATAAATGCTAAAGGACAAACCTAGAACCCAAAGAGGATAACATTAGGCCAGAGGTTTGTGAGAAATAGACTTGTACCTGTAGCTTGTTGCCAAGTATGGCCAAGGAGGGATGTTTATTTTGGAGCCGAGAGGCAAACCCACAGACCTAAATACACAGGTTGCATCTTCAGAAGTTAAAAGTAAACTTAGTAAGGAACTGGCAGTCACGTCTTGATTGAATTGAGGGAACAAGAGTATTAACTTCAATATTTAAAGAGTTTTGACTTCTGGATTCTACGAGGTTCATAACCTTTTATTTTAGGGTGTTCCAAGAGCGAGTCCACAGAAAGGGAAGAGCCCATAACCCTTTCAGCATCTGAGATTTCAAGAGATCTCAAAGCAGCCAGACTTTGCTGCCCTCTTTCTTTTTTAAAAAAAAGCCTTATTTTGTAGTTTTGTGGATTGTTTCTGTTGTTGGTTGGTTTTTGTTTTTTTTTTATTCGATATAAACATTTGAGGCAACACTGGTATTTTCGGTCACTTGCAGTTCTTGTTAAACAAAGGCATTTAACAACTACCCCAGGACTATGCTATGACCGTGCCAGCTCCTCACATACCCCTGGGTGGCAGATGTGCCAGTGCCTGGAGAGCAGGGCTCAGGCAGTGACAGCACTCAGCGATAGCCAGGGACCAAAAAAACCAAGTTTAGTTTGCCCAAATGAGTTTACACTTTGAGAGGGAGGTTAGAGAGGTGATTTTTAAGGTTGTTCCTGGTGACAAAACCCACTGCTTTTAAGGAGACTTCAGCTGTTGCAAAAAATAATAAATAGTAATTTTCCTGGAGCGAACAGGAAGATAACAGCCTGGTAGAAATCTGCCAGTAATTTACCCCAGCAGAAATAACCATTGCATAATGCAGTGGTTAAATAACAGTGCTGGAGGCAGAATTAAGTACATCCAGGATGTTTCAAAACAGTTTGGGTTCATATCTAGGGAAAAATGAAATTAAAAGAATTCCAAAACCTCTCTTACCCCTTAAAGCTTCAGTTCTCTTGTCCTTCTTCTTGTATAATTTTTTAATATTGTTTAGTCTAAAGGAAAGGTAAGCAAGCCATTACTATTGACTCTCACATTTTTGGCACATTTCCTCTGCCTTGTGTTAACCTTTGAAAACTCTTGGGAGACTATTTCTCAACCCCCTCCTCAAACTGGTCCTGCTCATTA